AGTAGTAGTAGTAGTAGTAATACTGGCTGTTGTTGTTCTAAGTAGCAGTAGAAGGTGTGTGGTTGTAGTCCGTAGTAATCGTAGTAGTAAGTATTAGTCGTGTTACTGTGCTAGTACTAGTATTAGTATACTGGTAGTGGAGTTGGTATTTGGAGTTGGCATTTGGGGCGTAGTAGGGGTGGTTTAGGTTCGAAGCTGGTTCTTACGGGCGTCAGATTTCAGAAGCGTGTTATACGGTTTCAAGATTGGGGTTTTGGTGTGTGGCTTCGTAGTGTTCTTGGTTTGACAAATTGTATCTGCTCTTTTGAGTACAGGTTTTTGTCGCCATGCACTTCATTCACACACAAACACAAACCTGTCTCTCTCTCGCTCTCTCTCCCTTCATGTTCTCCTTCCGATTCGCCTACGTATCGGGCCTCCGGAGGGTTTCCTTTTGAAGCCCAGTTACCTACAGAGAAGGTTTCTGCCGCCATAGTCCCTAAACCCTAAACCTTACTCTCTCNNATATATATAGAGAGAGTGTGTGTGTGAGTGCCAAAAACCTCAATATATAGGAATCATAATGAACTTGCTATGAAGGCAACCAGGCTTTTGAGGGTTCAGGTCCCTTCGCACAGAGTCGTTGGTGCCCTTTACCGCGAGCTGGACAGTTGGGAATAGCGTCCCATTTTGGGGGTCCCAGTCTAACTGTGTAGCATGGCAGAACAGTATACCTCAAACCATGTTCTGAGCTTTCAAGGCCCCTTCACAAAATCCCCCATGCAGAGTAGAGCTCTTTGGTGCATGCGCAGAAGACGCCAAAGCTAAGAAAAAATCCACCCAGAATTTTCGAGACGAGCCAGGGATGGCTGAGCTTTCTTGGATTTAGACTCTCAACTTCTGAGCTTAGGGGCTTTAGGATTTAGGATTCTAAGGTTTAGGGNNGGTTTAGGGATGTTCAGGGTTTAGGAAATTTAGGGGGTGAAGGTTTAGGGTTATGGTTGTTCCTGTTTGGCAGAAGGGGTGCCGCCGCGATTAGGGTGAGGTATGTCTCTGTTCCGGTCTAGGCTGCAGGGCCCGCAAACGCAAAGAAACCATTGAATACCGACCTATGAATCCTGAAGCTAAAAACCCTGAAGCCCTAACGCCCTCCAGCCCTAGAAACCCTGAAGCCCCAAAGCCCCTGTAGCCATTGTGCCATAAAAAAAAACTGAAACCCGAGAGAGCCCTGGGCCCTAAAACCTAGAACCCTCAACCCTAGGGGCCCTAAACCCCAAACCCTAG